TATGGGCTCCCCCTGCTCACCACCGTCAGCTTGGGGATACGGTGGGAGCGCCCGCCCGCAGCCTGACAGGAGTGTCAAGTTCAGTGCGCGCAAAGTATGCACCAGCGCTTCGGCACCGGGCCGCGTGGAGAGGGCATGTTGGCGGGGGTAGCAGGCGGCTTCGAAGTTGGAGGCGAACTGTTGTGCAATGGTCAGCCGTCGCAGAAAGTCGCCAACCACCAAGCCTCGCATGCCCCCGCCTGGTTTGCTGAGGGCGACGAGGCGGCCCAGTGCAAGGCCTTCGACAGCGGACTATGGCACATGCGCTCGAGCGAGCAAGAAAACGTTTTGTTGTGATTCATCATCCTCGTCCAAAACTAATCGGAGGATTTCAGCTGTATAGCCGCTGGGGCCTGACGCAGCACCACGCAAGGAGTGCCGAGCGGTCGAGCGCTAGGGGGTCAGCTGGAGCAGCATTACGGACGTCTCGGGGCAGCGGGCGGGAAGAGCTGTTGGAGAGTGGCCTCAGTTGGTGGGGCAAAGGGTTTCAGAAGGGCGGGCTTGCCGAGCCGCAGACAGTTCGCCAAGGTGTGCTAAACGGGTGGCGCGCTCAAGTCGGCGTGGCAAGTCATCAGTGGTGTTGGTGGTGGGCCTCGGCTGGTGCTGCGCGGAGCAGGGGTTCCCAGTCACCCCGAAAGAAGGCAGTGAACCTTGCGAGAATGGCCTGTTTTGGCACTCGATCAATTCCGGCAGGGCGGGAAAGCAGCATGCGCGGGAGGAAAAGTCAAAGCTGCCAAGCACGCACGGAGTTCTCTGAGGCGACCACGCGTTGCCGCCTTCGCAGCAGGCGCTTTTGGTGTGCCAGTCAGGGCACCGGCTTTCGTTGAGGCGCACCTCGAGACAGTCCTGGCTCGCCAGACTGAGTTTTTCAAGCTCCTGCCTTTGCTCGAGGACACCCAGGCTGCGTGGTTGCTCCCCGATCTCGATCCCACTCGTGCTTGGCAGCACTCCGCATCGATGGCTTTTCGAGCTTGATGGGGCAGCTGCAAACCCGCCTGGACTTGCAGTCGACGCTGTTTGCAGCCCACGTCCCCACGGCACAGCATACACACATACACACATACACATACACGCAGACACACAGACACACAGACACACATACACACAGACACACATACACACATACACACATACACACATACACGCATACACGCATACACCCATACACGCATACACGCATACGCGCATACACACATACACATACACATGCAAATACACATACACATACGCATACGCATACGCATACGCGTACACATATATCGACATATAAACATATAGACATATAGACATATAGACATATAGACATATAGACATATAGACATATAGACATATAGACATATAGACATATAGACATATAGACATATAGACATATAGACATATAGACATATAGACTTATAAACATATAGACATATAGACATATAGACATATAGACATATAGACATATAGACATATAGACATATAGACATATAGACATATAGACATATAGACATATAGACATATAGACATATAGACATATAGACATATAGACATATAGACATATAAACATATAGACATATAGACATATAGACATCCACCGGCCGCCAACTTCGGCGGCCAGGACGCACCGCCGCTGGCCTCCGCCGCGCCTCCGTTCCGGGTATGTGGCGCGCTTGCGGGCTTCCGCCGTGCGGAGGGCTATCCGGCTGTGCTGATTGGGCTCACCAACGTGGCGGCCATGCTTTGCGGGGACACCCCATTTCTGACCAGGTCGAGTCGTCGGCGGTCCTGCGGCGACCGCGCTGTGGCACCACGTGGCCTTCCGCTCCGACCGCCTCGATGGGCAACTCGCCCAGGTTAACTCCCTTCCTTGGTCATTCAACCACTTCCCCGTTCACTCTATTCACTTCTTTTCATCCTGGAACGCGCTCCAAGGCTCCTAAAAAATTTTAACTATCCTCCATCGTGTTTCGTTCATGAAATTCACGCGCAAACTCGGGTGTAGTGTATGTAGTGTCTCTATGTCTCAGTGTCTCTATGTCTCTATGTCTCTATGTCTCTATGTCTCTATGTCTCTATGTCTCTATGTCTCTATGTCTCTATGTCTCTATGTCTCTATGTCTCTATGTCTCTATGCCTTCATGTCTCTATGTCTCCATGTCTCCATGTCTCCATGTCTCTATGTCTCTATGTCTCTATGTCTCTATGTCTCTATGTCTCTATGTCTCTATGTCTCTATGTCTCTATGTCTCATCTCCGCAGCAGATCGCCCACAACAAGCCCGCAGGCGCCCCCCAGAAGGTTTGCGAAGAGCAACCAATCGTCCCAAGGCAATTGCAGCGGCGATAGGTGCAGGCACCTTAGCACGGGCAAGGAGGGTCGCAACATCAGAAACGCAAGCGCGGCCTCTTCATCATCGAGCACGAAGCGGAGCATTTCGGCCGTGTAGCTGCTTGGCCCAGGTGCGGAGCCTCTGCGTGCGCGGCAGAATTGGTGAGCAGAGTGGTTCGATCAAGCGCAACCGGTGCTTCGGGCTGGAAATCCAGCAGGTCCGGGGGCAGGGGTGCGTAGGGGCGAGGGGGTCTGCGCGCGAGGTCGGTCAACTCACGCAAGGTAGAGTTTGAGGGAGGGGCCAGGGGCTCGGCAATTAGGGCCTGCCGTGCTGCGGACAGTTCCCCGAGGTGCGCCAGGTGAGCAGCACGTTAATCACTGGGCGAAGCGCTGTGCAGGCCAACCGCGTCAGCGGAGCACGCAACAAGCTGCCCAAATCTCCTTGGAAAAATGCCGTGAACCTGGCGAGCAGTTGCTGTTTCAGCACTTTCGGAACAGGAGCATGCGGGCAGGAACAACCAAACCTTCCAAGCACGGGCCAGCGCAGGAGACACCAACGTCGCTGGCGGGGCTGCATCGCGGACCAGCTTGAGAGCAAGCGTGATGGCACGGCGGAGCGGCGCTTTGCAGAAGACTGGCGGGCAGCGAAACACGTTGCAAGGTTGCAGCAAAACATCCTCAGCAGAGAAAGGGTCGAGACTAGCCAAGGCTGTTTGCAGGTGGGGATTCTGGTGGCTGATTGCCTGCAGCCTGCATTTGCCCCGAGGCCGGACGTGTTGCTGGGGTTGTTCCGGCACATCGGAAGCCGCAGAGCTGGAGCTTGAGGCGCTTGAGGAAGAGGACTCAGACGCGGACCCCATGCAAGCGCCCTGAGGCTGTGCGGGGCTTGGCGGGTGCTGTGGCTGGGGTTCGGGTGGGGTTTGTGCGTCAGCAACCTCGTTCCTGCACGAGGTGGGCTGCACGGCGTGAGTGAGCGAGTGTGGCGGTACAGGGCCGGCAAAGCGGAGGGCTTGAAGGGAGTGTGTCCAAATGGCCCCCAAGCTCGCATGACTCGCCCATTGCTGCTCGCATTGTGGGTGAAGTCTGCCTTCGGCAGCATGCAATGTTTCTATGTCTATATGTTTATATGTCTATATGTCTATGTGTCTATATGTCTATGTGTCGACATGTTTATATGTGTTTCTGTTTATATGTCTATATGCCTATATGCCTATATGTCTATGTGTCTATATGTCTATATATATGTTTATATTCAGGACGCGCGCGACTTGGTCCCAACGTGCGCGTTATGGAGCTGCGCGCACCGTCCGCCGTCCGGGCAAGCGCCTCGTCGGCCTGGGCGCGGCGGTGGTGGGGCATGCTCTCTGTCGCCGTCCAGCGCGCCGTCGGCGGCACGGCTCTCTGCGTGGCTGCTGCCCCACACGGCCGCGGGCCATGAGCCGGAGCTCGACTGGGTGCTGGAGCTGGCCGACCCGGAAGGCCCGAGCAGGCTGCCGCTGCGCTAGGGCGTCGGCAGGCAGACCACGCAGGCGCAATGGGATCCGCAGGACTAGCGCGTCAATGAGAAAAAACAAGTTGCCCATCGTGCCACGTGGGAGCTAGTTGGCGAGATGCGTTTCTTCTTTGCTTTTTCACTACTGACCGAACGCGGTGTTGTGTGAGGTCCGAGTCTCGATCCGCCGGTCTTCGGTAACAGGCACGTCAATGTTCATGTCCGCGACACGCGCGTTTCGAGCGACGTGAGCCCCGCCCCCATGTCGCGGGGGGCGAGTTGGAGGGCTGCAAAGGCACTCCCGCGCTGTTAGCAGCGGCGGCCGAGGGCAAGGGGACTCTGCCATTGAGGGCACCGAGCAAGCCTTCACCAGCCCCGGGGTGCCCGAGCCTGGATGACGGGAAGGGTGTCGCACCAGGAAGCCCAATGGGCAGGATCCGCACGCGCAGAACGCAGGCCGAGCCCACCACACCGACAGGCAAACCGCGCCGTCCGAAGGCTGTGTTCAGGCAGATGTTCGGCATCGAGCTGGAGGAGCTCGGCAAGACAACGCTCGCCCGCATCGTCGTGGTCACACGCGAACCTTGCGTGAGGTGGGCGGCAGCGCCCGGGAGAGGACAGGGGGCACCGCGCAAAAATGGAGCAGCAGCCAGGCTGCCTTGTCGGTTATGCTGTACGCTCGGCTAGAATCGGTAGGCATTGCATGTTGACGAATTTCGTGCAGTTGGTTGCTTCCGGCACGCGGTCCGTGACCCGAGTTCTCCGCTGCCGTCGCTGGCAAAGGCGCTCGCTCGTCCCGAACTCTCGGACCGAAAGACGTAACGTAGCAGGCTGCTTGATTTTCCCGCAGTCCTCGTTGGATCTCGTTGGTGGACGCAAAAAAATTGCTTCATTTGCCAGCTCTTCACCCAAAAATGTTGGACGTCCGCATTGGTCTATCTCGCTTATAAACCAATGCAATAAGGAACGTTTTGGAGAGGAGCGCTGTGACCGGTTCTTACATGTCTTTACCATCTCAAGATGTCTGAAACGCCATGTATCAATGAAGGTTTCATTCTGCCTGGCAAGTTAAGACATGACACGTGGCCGAAACAGCAACCGATCCTGACAGAATTTGAAGCACATGTGCATAAGCCCGGTAGGATAGCAACAGTACTTTGTGATGGCACCTCCTGCGTTTTCGACGCTTGGCGTTTCGTTTGTGGAGAATGAATTGGAACAAACGAAGCAGAAGTTTCAAGCTACGAAGAATGCACGGGACTTGGCTTTAACCCGGGTACAACAACATGAAGCTGCTTGTATTGCTGCAGAGCAGGAATGGCTGAATATACAGAACCGACACAGGAGGAGAGATGAAGCAGCGCGTTTGTTGCAAAGCTGGTGGCTGCGAGTTGGTATGCGAAGGGCAGCATCCTTTCCGTTGTATGAGTTTCTGGAGCATCACCGGCTACTTCGCGCGCGGCAGTGTCTCGGTGAGAACCTTCTGGACTTGCGACGATGTGTTCATGATTTGCACATTGAAGATGCAGACCGTGAACAGTCCTGTGTTCGGATCCAACGTTGGTGGCGTCATGTGCTCGCCAAACGAGTGATGAAGATCATCGCCATGTACGGCAAGGTCTCCAAAATAAAAACAGTGGTGGAAAATGCGGCCGCCAAGATTCAGGCAGTTGTTCGCGGCACTAGTGCTCGGAGAGAAGTGGGGGTACTTCGTGAATCACGGAAAGCTGCCGAAGAAGAAGCAGAGAGACGATTGGAGCAAATCAAGATGCAAGCAGTGCTAAGCATCCAAAACACCTATCGCAAGAGTGTCGCGGTGAAGCAGGTGCAACTCTTGAGGGCCAGAATGTTTGCTGCAGTTATGTCGCAAGGTGTCTCTGATGTGAACATGGGCCCACACAAAAACAATCTCCAGTCCTTTGGGAGGTCTGCCTGGCTGAAAAGTACCGCCAAGGCAAACCCCAAAAAGAAACGATGAGCAGACCAATCATGCCGTGTGCGTTTCACACATGTTTCACAATGCTATGCGACAGAGAACGTGCGCCGCAAGGTGGGCGGAACAAAGGAGGTTCCAGACAAATTTCTTGAGTTTGGGTGTCACTGAATCCAGCAGCGAAGCGGCGCATGCACTTCCAGAAGCCATCTTGAGTCACTCAAATGTAGAAGGTCTTTCCATATTGCGCCAGGGTTGCGATCACCTCATGCTCCTTTGCTTAATTGCGTGAGTAACTGCACGTAGGGTATACTGAGTGCGACACCTGAGGCTACCCTGCCGCAGGTCAATCAGGCATGACGGTTTTCTTGATGGCTCACGGTGTTGAGTGAAATGTCGACCCATTCTAGGATGTGAATGAGATCCGTGCAGGATTTGGCCGCTGGTGTGCATATTGCTCACGCCAGCTACCGCAATCATTCGTAGGGAGAGTTTGCGGATACTTGGTGGAATTGGTTGCCTCAATCTGTGGGTTTGTTCTGTCAGAAACAATTTGTGTTGTTGATGCGATCAGGAGCGACATCCAGCCAAATCTGTTGGAACCTGGTTGCGAAAATGCTGCATGTGTTCATGCAGCGAATTGAAAGCCGTGCTTGCTTGGTTCAAATTGAAACTGCAGGAAGCTAATGTCTCGAAGCGCAGCTGGCGTTTTTGTGCCAAGCAGTGGGAGGACAGCGTGCTGCTTTCACAGTCGGCTGTCCAAAAGCAACCATATCCAGTCACAACATGTGCTTGATTTCCAGGAGTGCACATGCAATGGTCGTGTCAGGCAGGTGAAGCTGGGGCATCCATCAAGACGCATCAAAACCTAGCAAGATATGCACAAGCTGATGTGTGGTGGTCATGAAGCAAAGACAGCCCGAGTGGCATTTTTTCCGTGGGGCCCGCAGGTGGGGCAACCGCGAGACTTGGAAGGTACTGGATCCACCAGTGGATGGATCCTCCCTGACCGTGCAGCATCCTGGCATATCTGGGCTCGGCTGCCCTGAATTGCAGGTTTCCATTTCATTGAGGTGCAGCATTCAGCACCTGGATGATGTACTACCCGGTGATGATGGAAAACATTGCCAGTGGGCGAGCTGAACTTTAGAAGACCCTTGCACTTTGTTCCAAAGGTGTATATGAGTGTGCAGTACATGCCTCGTCTAAACCGAGGTGTCAAGGCGAAGTAGTACGTGGAAGCTCGCTGAGGCAACAGTTTCGCTTGTATCTTGAGCCGTGCTTGCCTGCGTTCGAGTGGTGCTTGACAAACGAAATTGCTAGAGCAACGTGTTGTAATAGGTGTGCTCATGACATGGGACATCATGGGACCTTGCCCTGCAGTTCGCAGCCTCCGACGTCCTTCCAGCAGGTGGACCTCAACCGGTTTGCTGACCGCCTTTGGAAAAGGATGGACAGAATCGCCTTGGCCGTTGTACCGGTACCGTCTTGGATAATATGACCGGCCAAGGACAGCACTGCAGAACGCCGATTGGGTGTTCTGTTCCAATCAGTGGCAGGAATGCCAATGCAACAATGAAGTGAGGCCGGCCATTGTGGCATGTGTACCTTCGCATTGTGGGCATTGTGGATGAGGGGCTGAGGTGGGGAAGCGGCCAAAAGTGGATGTTCATCAGCCCTCCAACAAACGATGAGGTCTTCACAGTGAAGCTACTTGGAGTTGTTCAGTTTGTAGGTGAGTCGTACCACGTGATTCAACATGTGGGCAAGCATCCTTGCTTGGACACACAAGGTGCGATGTGCAAACGCTCGGAGATCCCTTGCCAGGAGAGGATGGGAAGCATTGCCAGTGTTTGGTAGAGCATGGGAGAGACTTGGCAGAAGGTTGCATATTGAACGGTAAGTTCATCTACCACGTAGCTCTTGCAAGGCCTCAGCCAGTGTGTGGAGAGTACCGAGGCACGTTCGAGAAGCAACTAAATCCGCTTAGCCCTGAGCTTTTTGTCAGCTGCGACTTAGACTTGTTGCCCGTTGTTGCCAGCTGTCAAACGTCCAAGGATGCTTCTTCATCAGCAAGTTGCGGACAAAAGCGGGTCTCATCTCATTGCTTCATGTGAAATCTTTGAGGCAGGATACAGTAGTCAGTTTCGCAGCAGAGGGCACAGAGAGCGGAGAGAGCAAAGATTAGCGCAGGCCTCCCAACACCGAGGGCCCAAGGCCAGGTGGCACCGACTCACTCCCCGGCAATCTGCAGATATTTGCAGCAATGCCATGCGCAGCAAGAAAGCACTTCGCAGGACCAAGCCTTGTGGGAAGCTGTAGAGCCGTTCTGCTCAGAAGCGTGGGAGGCCAACCGGTCTTGATCGGTCTTGTGTTGTTGCAGAATTTTCAGTTGCCACCAGAGTTGTCGGCTTTACAGGCGAATGCGGCCGGAGATGAGTCCCTGGCAGCTGGACCTCGCAGACTCAGCTTCAGAAGCCCGATTCAACATGCAGAAGCCCTGAACTTGCTGTGCACTCCCAGAGCACGATGTGAAGCCGGAACCATCACACCTGAATCTTTTTCAGCATCCCAGGTTCGATGCAGAACCTTATGCAGGCTCGTATTGATGCGCGCTTCGCTGAGAATTACAACCGCTTGGTGGACGAGGCCTGATGTGACAAGCTTGAGCAAGCCATTTTCGAGCTACAGCCACTACAGTTCAGCGGGGTCGGAGCGAACTCATGAATGTGCTGCTTGAAGGATGGTTGGCTGCCAAGAGCTTTTGTCAATTACTATGCTGGCGCACCAGGAAGCAGTCCAGAAGCATGTTGTGTGGCCACGTGCTTGCGTGACAGCTGCCCCCCCTTGATTGGCTTGAAGATGCTCCCAAGGTAAACATGCGAATATGACCGAGCAGCTCATTCGCAGCGTGCTGAGCTCCAGGTTGCCAATGGGCGTAAGGGTTGCCTTCCTGCTGGGGCGCATGTTGCCAGTATCTGTTTGTGGCCATGTGATGCGAACACGTGCACGAACTCTCAAATGCGCGCACACATGCGCATATGCAGTGGTGATGCTCGCTGTATGTTCGTTTCAGGATCAGTCTCCGCTTCCTCCATGCGCAGGTTTCCACGAGGGTCCATATAACAGTAGGTTTCTCGCATGTCCCACCGCCTTCGGCGTCCTGGCATCCCTGCGTCCCTGCATCCCTGTGTTCCCGTGTCCCCACGTCCCCGCGTCCCATGCGTCCTCGCATCCTTTCGTGGCGTGAGTTCTGCGTCCTGCGTCGCGCTTCCCGCGTCCGGGGTGCATAAATGGGTTTGGAGGTTGGGATCCTTCTCAGGTTTCCATCCTTTTCAGGCCACTCTAGAATCTTAAATCTTGAATCTGGGATCTGTCAAATTGAGAAGGTGAAACTGCACTGTTGAAGCTCAGCATTGGAATGTTGAAGTTCAATGTTGGGCCGGATCCAAGAACTTGAACCTTGAATCTTGGACCCAATGCTGAAGTTGCCGAGCTTCAAAATCGTACCTACGTATCCGATCCTTTGCCGCAGGGCCTGCACCATCCCTAAAGTTCTGAGTGCTCGCAAGCACCGTCCCGCTACATAAGTTTTAACATACGCAAAGCTCCAATTTCTTTGTCATAGATGTTTCCTCCTCCGCTTAAGTTGTATCTTATTTGCTCTGCTAACTTATATACATATACATATATATAGATATTGTTTCTATCTTTTCTTATTTCACTCTGGGCCCAGTGCCCTGTTATGTATGAAGTGGGGAAAAAAAGCGCAAATAGCAAGAACAGGTAAAGTAAATCGACCTAACATTGAACCACAGGAATATTTTGGTTGCCAATCAATCCCCGTTTTATCATGTTTTGTCTTGCATGCTTTAATGGAGTCCAATGTGGCAGCCTTTTTTCCTGGTGATGTGGCTGCAGGCGCTCCTGAGCAACCTCGTTCGCACGTCGTTTGCCGAGACTGCTCTCCTTTGCTGTTGGTTCTTCGGTTTTCTTGCGCGTGGTGCCTTAGCGGTGTTTATCCTTTCCACGAGGTGCCGGCAGGTGTGCTAGGTTCTTCTTCGGGAGTGCCTTGTAACACCATCTGTGCTCACACCTAACGTGGTCATGGGCGCCACTTCCAAGGTGCACGCGCGCGCGCTTCCAAGGTGCACGCGCCGTCTGTGTCCAAGGTGCACGCGCAACGTTGGGGACCTGCGCAGGGCCGAGTGTTCTTGTACCAAAACCCTAAACCCTAAAAACCCTAAAATCCCTAAACCCTAAACCCTCAACCCTCAACCCTAAACCCTAAGCCCTAAGCCCTAAACCCCAAACCCGAAACCCTAACCCTAAACCCTAAGTGTCCGAGAGGTCAGCTAAGCGGGTGGCAAAAAAAAAAAACCCTAAAACCCCCTAAACCCTATACCCTAAACCCCTAAACCCTAAACCCTAAACCCTAAAACCCCCTAAACCCTAAACCCTAAAACCCCCTAAACCCTAAACCCTAAACCGCAAATCCTAAACCCTAAACCCCTAAACCCTGGACCCTAAACCCTAAACCCTAAACCCTAAACCCTAACACCCCCTAAACCCCAAACCCTAAACCTTAAACCGTAAACCCTAAACCCTAAACCCTAAACCCTAAACCCTAGCCCTAAACCCTAAACCCTAAACCCTAAAACCCCCCAAACCCTAAACCCTAAACCCCTAAACCCAAAACCCTAAAACCCCCTAAACCCTAAACCCTAAACCCTAAACCCTAAACCCTAAACCCTAAAACCCCCTAAACCCTAAACCCTAAACCCTAAAACCCCCTAAACCCTAAACCCCTAAACCCTAAACCCTAAACCCTAAACCCTAAACCCTAAGCCCTAAGCCCTAAGCCCTAAGCCCTAAGCCCTAAACCCGACTCGTGGCACCCAAACGAGCGTGGGGCTCGTTTGGGTGCCAAGATCCTTGAAATTAACCCTAAACCCGGCCACTTCCAAGCTGCACGCGGCACTTCCCGGCACTTCCAAGCTGCACGCGGCACTTCCAAGCTGCACGCGCTCTGAAAGCCCTGGGCAGCCACCCATTTCGAAGTTTCCGGAATCCTCCTCTCTTGCCAGCGGTGCTACAGAGTGAGAATTGGTGGAACCAGCTCCGAGGACATTACCTGCTGCTGCGTGCTCGTGGTTGGCTGCAAGACTGTCTTCGCGAAGTGGCTTGTCGGCCAAGGCCAGAGAGCAGACGGCTTTTGAGGCAGCAGCCAGCGTTTGCTTGCCGAAGAGCTGGAGCCGGAAGGCCATCCTGCGTAGGTGAGATGCCTATGCGTGTGCTGGATCCGGAAGTTTGGGGTACTGGGCTTAGCTGAAGAAGCGGACGCAGAATGGTTGGTACTACGCATGGAGGGGGCAAAGGGCCATGCCGGTGGAAAGATTGCGGGAGCCAATGGAAGCAGATCCGGCCGCGCGCTCCAACGCCGTCGAGAACCTAGCAGCGCAACTGCTGGGCGAAACCACGCCGAATCGGATGACTCTGGAAAGGTACCTGCGCGTGGAACTCCCGATGAGCAACGAGCGCAGCCTTGGATTTGCGACCCGGATCATGGTAGAGGTTATAATCTTCAGAGGCACCAATCGCTGCTGCTCTTCATGGCCGAATTGTCGGTTGGAGCTTTAGCCGTCATAGAGACCCCATGGGAGGCGTACTCACGTTAGTTGGCCTGGTGGCCTCGAAGCAGGTGTTCAAGCGGGCGCTGCCTAGCTGTCTTCTGTGTGCAAGACGTGGAGACCTTCTTTCTGCGCAGAACGCGCAGGATGAAGCTTCCGACGCGTCGCTGTCACGGGGCCGTTGGCTGCTCCTTGCACAGGCGGCTCGCTGGGTTCACGGTTTCTGCACAGTTTCGATCCAGACCCGCCCTGTTCGTAGAGGACCCCGCCCATATTCCTCCAGGTGCAGTGTGAACTGGATGGGATCCGTCCTAGCCAGCGTAGCTGGAGGCGTCTCTGACTTTTTTCGACGTTCGACGTGGATGCCGCCGACGAGCAAACTTCTCCAAACAGTTGGTTCCTTAGCTGCGATGTGGCAGGCGTCGCACGGGCTCGATCCAAATCCGCTCTGCCCCTTCGTTGAGGGTCTCAAAAACTCTATGGCTGGACCCTGGGGATTGTTGACAACGTGCGGGCAAAGTGCATCCACCAGTACCGGCGCCGCTTCTCACTGGCCTGGCAGTGGATGCGAATCGCTTTCATGCTCTTGCTCGGCTACTTCGCTAGCTGAGGCCTTGTGAGATGTTCGGTGTGAGGTGTTTCCAGCGTCTTCTTTTAAACTTCTTTTAGGGTTTAGGGTTTGAACACCCAGCGGTTTTTTGGGGTGTTGGGTTTGCCCACAACATCTTCTTGTAGGGTTTAGGGTTTGAACGCCCGACATCTTAGGGCTTCCTCCTCCCACCTTTTTTTTGGCCATAGTGTTTTCACACCCAACATCTTCTCTTGGGAGTTTAGGGCTTGCCCGCCCAACGTCTTCTTTTAGGGTTTAGGGTTTGCCCACCAACGTCTTGTTTTCGAGGGCTTGCCCACTCAACATCTTCTTTTTGAGTTGAGGGCTTGTTCACCCAACATCTTCTTTCAGGGTTTAGGGTTTGCCCACCCGACATCTTCTTTTCTGGTCTAGAGTTAGAACGCGCAGCATTTTCTTTCAGGGTTCAGGGTTTTCCCACCCAGCATCTTCTTTTGGGGCTTAGGGCTTGCTCACCCAACATCTTTTCGGGTTTAGGGTTTGCCCGCCCTGTTTTCAGGGTGTTGTACGTGCTGGGGAAGTGGAAAAGCGTTGTGTTTTCGGTACGAAGCGCTCGTTGCTGGCCGCATGAGAAACACGTCTTTGGGAGCATTCTATGTTTCTCAAACAACGCTAAAAATTCCGACAACTTTGCGTTGCGGAATTTGTGTTTTGAGGGTTCGGAATCTTAAGCACAGATGTGTCTCGGCACTTGTACTTTAGAAAAGTTAATGCACATGGTATTGACGATACGAACGTCGCATGAGAAACGTGTTGCTGGGAGTGTTCGTTTGACGTTGTCATGGTTCGGGCAATGGTGCTCTGGCCGCTGCATGCACTGGTAGCAGTGACATTGTCATCGTTCAGGCGTTGGTGCTGTGGCCCTGGATGCATTGGTAGTATGGACTCCAGTATGGACTTTATCATCGTTCGGCATGAGTGCGAGTTTCTCACAGAACGGCTCCTGCCTTCGTTCGTGGCCACTCATCTCGGTGAACTGGACTGACAGATGTCCCAAGAGCAAGGAAACCGAGGTCGTCCATGGCCCAAAGTGGCCATTGTGAAACACAGTTCCACCCGCCGGGCCAGTAAAAGACATCACTGACAAGAATTAATTGAACTCAGAGAAGTTACAGACTTTGCACGGTGTACTTGGAATGTTGAAGCGAAACATGTGCGCACTGAAGGCCTAAACCCAAAACCCTCAAAGAGCAGAGCCGGACGCAAGTAGACCTGGGCAGAAAGCGCGTGCAAACGAAGCCGATGGAACCAGTGTTTAGGGTTTGCTCACACAACGTCCTCTTTTAGGGTTTCCAACTCTTCTTTTCGGGTTTAGGGTTTGCCCACTTGCCCAACATCTTCTTGCAGGGATTATTGCTTTTACCGCCCAACTTTAAATTTAGGGTTCAGGGCTTGCCCGCAACACCTTCGTGGAGGATCTAGGGTTTGCCTGCCCAACATCTTCTTTTGGGGATTAGGGTTTGTGTTCGTTTGAGTCTAGGGCTTCTCCGGCCAACATCTTCTGTTCGGGTTTAGGGTTTGCCCACCAACATCTTGTTTCAAGGGTTTAGGGCTTGGCCACCCAACATCTTCTTTTCGGGTTTAGTGCTTGCCCGCCCAACATCTTCGTTTTGGGTCTAGGGTTTGCCCGCCCAACATCTTGTTTCAG